CCTCATTAGCAATAACTATTTCTTATTAATGCAGCACTGTCTTGTTTCTATGCGGGGATGAAACAGAACCATGACTACTCATTTTTATAAGGACCCTTCAAGTACAATGTCATCTTTTGATATTTAAAAGAAATTGGTCTGTGCACCAAGCCAGTGTGTTGAATGATTACAACTATGAGTGCTGTAGAGAAAGATGAAAGGATTTGTAATTTCAGATGAAGCATTCTAAAAACCAGAGTGTAGAAATATCTATTGGCAATTACACAGAAAGGAAATGTAAGTCAACAAAGTCACCCTAGCAAAATTTCTGGCAAGTAAGGTGATTCCATTAAATAAGGAATGAATTTTCAAAATACAATCGGATAAAATGCAATTCATCATTTTCCTTCAGTGTTTTGATTTCACCTGCTGAACCTCAAGAAATGTAACTCAACTACAGAAGACCAATTAGTAATTAAGATGTTATTAAAAGAACACAGCACACTCCAGGACACGAAAATTAACCTTATTATATGTTGGCCCTTCACACCAGTAAATAGGAGTAAAATGTTAGAAATAACTTTTTAGGAACCATCACTTTGTTGCATGGGAAGAGGTGAGATCACAGACATTTTTGACTGTCATGTAACACTCCCAGATCTTATAAAACTATATAAACACACCTAAATTAGGAAAAGTGCAATTCTGCAGGACTGTGTTTCTGTAGCACTTTTACAATACAGTAAAGTGTCACAACTAAGCATTGTTTTAGAGCATATTACTTGATTTGAATCCTTTCCATTCTCATACCAAAAGATACCAGAAAAGAGCATTTCTCTTCCTAGCATGCAAATGTGGATAAGGGGAGGAGATTTAAGTAAAGCATTGCACTAAGTGATATTCACTAATTCTCAGAGTAAAAGTTCATTTACAATTTCAGTTACATAACTGTTTTATGAGGTTTAAAATCAAGGCAAAATAAAGATTCTGTAACAGGTATACTTGAAACTAAAATAGTGATTAAACTTTTAAAATCCTCTGTCACTGAAATACAAGTAGACCTTTGTGGCTTACTTACTACATCAACATAAATCAATTGAAAATAGATATTTATACCAAATAGATATATACTTATGGTACAATCTCAAGACAAACGTAAAAAATAATGAAGCTGTTACAACAGTTAAGGTGAATCTTGGAGTATGAGAAGACATTTGATGATAGTGGATAAAGAACTACAATAAGGACTACTGTAATTTGTCTTTCTGAAAACATGAACTCTGATTTAATAATCATGCAAAGACTGCTCATCATAGTACAGCTACCCATATAATCGGTTCTATGATTGTCTCTCTTCATGGATGAAAATAGTTACACAAAAAACAGCTCAATCTCGGCAGAAAAGAAAAAAATCACATATCCAGGTATATTTATAAACACACAGGACTCAATAACAAAGCAGAATTGTTCAGTGCCATTTAGACCGAGGATTAAAACAACTAATTAGAATCTATACAAAACTGACAAGAAAAAAAGTGATGTGACTTCAGATATATTCAGGTCATGAGTGGTGCAGATTTTAAAACACTTTGTAAGAAAAACATTTTAATATAATGGCAAGATATTAAATATTTGGACTAAAGAAATATCCTAATCCTTTACATCCAATACCCTTCAAGTATTACAGATCTTAATCCTAATTAAAGTTTTTATAATACATTTTAAAATCCTAAATAAAACAAAAATGATTACGTCATCTTTTTTGTTTTGTTCTATGTAGTTTATCATATTATTGAAACAAAAAACACCAATTACAAAAACATGTTTTCCAAGACCAAAATTGGCCATCCATCTGAACCCTGATGCTATAAACGCTATGTTTCAGCTGGTTGAAACATTTAAACATCCAACAAAGACTACAAAATCAACATCTTTATCACACAAATCATTGGGGGACAAACTTATGGTACACTGCAGTGAGCACTCTAGATCTCTGTAAGCACATAGCATTAATCCTAAACTCTAAAAGGTAAATAATTAACCCTCTCACAAATGTTGAGGGACATGTAATTGTTCCCAATCTCCCTTTTATGTATAAAACTTCCACTTGCCATTGTAACATTTAATCCAACTGTCCCCTGAAATAAGTTTTCCAGACATAAATTGCAATTCATCCTGCGACATCTGCTCTCAATCCATGGGTCAGCAGTTAGAACACTTCTGAGGTGGAGGGAGGGTACCGAAACTCGTCTTTTATATCACACAATGCATGTTCCAAGGGACACCGAGCACGAAAAACATTCGCTGTCTTGCATATCATTCAGATTGGGGCTTCAGAACATTGAAACCTACATGAACAAACAGTGAAACTGAACTGCTGAATACAAAGTGGACTTAAGTAAAAGTGATGCAGAAGGTATCCATATGACCTTCTGAAGATAAGCATTTTGAAAAATTACAACACCACACAGCAGCAACGAAATCGAATAACTACAATTATATTTTAAAATTCTGCATAATCTTATGCTTACTATTTCTAAAAGGTTCTAGTTCAATTAAACAGTCCCATACATCAAAAAAGATTCCCCTCTAGACGCTCTTTATTCAAAACTTCAAAACCTAATGGGTGTGATGAATATAGCCTAACATTCATAAACACAGTACAGGTGTTCTAGAAGGCTGTCCAATGTTGAAACTCACAAATTAAAAAAACATATATAAACACCACAGATAATCAGCTTTATTTTTGCCGAACATAAATTTAATTAGAATCAGAAGAAATTGGTAACTTTAGCTAAATCAAAGAAAAGCCTGCAAAGACCCTCAAGATTTATAATAATAGCAAGGTACTACTGACAAAGAAAATCTTCAGTCGAGTTTTGGACATTAGACATTCTACTTCTTCCAAAAGCTCACAACAATATCTAGCAATGAATGGAAAAAAGAACCCTTGGGTGCATTCTGTATGAAAAATGTGTGTCACCCTGATGAACCTGATTCGAAACAGTTTTCAACATGACCGCTGAACAATGTTTTGATGTCAACCCTGCCTTCCAGTGGACTGCTAGAGATAAGAAACCAAGCACTGAACCATTCCTCTGCATCATTCCAAATGAGAAGATACAAAGATCCAACCATAAACAGCATGTTCTTCCACTGCCTTCAGTTCAATTTGCAATCTCTGCTGATCTCAGATAGTCAAGAAGCATTTACATTCTTTGCTGAGGACTTGAACCGAATTCACCACAGAGAAATCCTGAAAATCAAATCCTAGTCCTCTTGCAATCTTTCACACTAGGTGCTGCTAAAGGGGAAAAGTATTGCTAAGCTAACCCGAATGAAATATATACTGTCAAGGAGTTCATGAAAGAATGTTTTTCAACAAAGCCATGTTGAAGTATCTTAAATATTACTTTTATGTCATCTCTGAGTAACCTGAGTAAAATGTAGGACTGGAGAAGCAAGTTCATACAACAGCCCATATTGACAAATTACTACATAAAACATTGATGCAACAGAGTTCATACAGACTAATAAAAAACAGCATATAAACCCTTATCATTAATAAGAAAAATGAGTTATCAAAACTGCACAAAACTGGAAGATTTATGTAACAGATTGCTTTTGGCTTCATTTCATTTTCACCCAACTTGCAATTACCAATTATTTACTTTTTGATTCACATTAAGGACCTCCAGATCCATCAAAGTTAGTAGTTTTTGAGACTTTGTAAGCTCCACACTGCTCAGTTACACCCTCTGGAGGAGTGAAGAGGCCCTCCCTTGTGTCACTGCAAGCCTCCTGTCTCCTAGAAAGCTGTGGTTTCATACAGGAGTGGATGTTTCATCGCAAGCAGAGAGACCCTTGGCTGACTAATCCCATCTGAGCTATCTGAGTGCAACACTGCTTGGGCAGTACAGCTCACAGTCAGCTAATGACATGAACCAGGTCAGACTCAACCTTTCTGTCACTTTTCACAACTGCATTTCAGTTACATTTTTCCAAAAAAGCCTAAGAAACCAAACCATTTTAAATTAAGAATAAACAAAAAAATGTATCTACCAATACATTTTGTCTTGTAATTCTAAATGGTAAAATAAGTTTGTTTGTTTGCAATGTATAATCATTTTTTCCTTAAAATAAATGTCTTTGTTCTGCTATTATGGGATTCTTAAAGTAGCTAACTATATAAAGAAATAACACGATGATTCAAAGGTGGTACAGACTCACAAGAACTATTTTTTTAACTACACAATGAAAGGAAAAACAAAGGAATTTAGAAGACTTGTCTCTTTATTCTCAACTAAAAAAAATGTTTGTTTTTGACAATGTTAGAAACACTATGTAATCTCAACAGTCAGTTAAACACGCCTCTATCCACAGGAAGTTTAGTAATGTATTATGTGTACAAAAATGTATTATGTTAATCAAGGCAAAAAAGAGGACAAAGGCACAGCAACATTTAAACAACCTACTAAGGCCAAATGCTGATAATACCTGATACTACAGGGGGTGCAATGTTAAATAAAGAATATTTTGAATTCAATCAAAGAACAACATGGAATGTACCAAATATGACATTATACAAAATTTAGCAAATGTGCCAAACTGTGCAGAGGGATACATCACACGTTCTCATTCGGTTTGCCCTGAAGGCATCATAAAAGAAAACGCATTTCTTAAGGGGCTTAATCACAATATGTGGGCAACCATTAAAAATACATCAATACCAATTTTCTTAATTACATTGCAGAGTAATATTTACTTCAGCGAAAATAACCCTTGCCTCTATTACCTGCTGCTCCTAAAATCCTTTCTAAATGAACAAACGACCATACAGGAGGAATTAACAGAAGTCATCATGTCTGCAAGGGCCAATGCTCAATGTACAATCAAGCAGAGAAAAAGCAAATGAAAGAGCTGTTACAATACAATACTACAGGCTGGGAAGTTCAATTATGGCTGGGTAAATTGGAAAAGTGACTGAAGGATGGTGCTGAATTGACAGCTGCTCGGCTCACCTGCGGGGGCGATGGGGGACTCGGAGACTCGTGGCGGTGGCCTTGATGGGGCTGGAGAGGAGTCTCTCATGCGATTGATGACATTTTCAGACAACTGTCGGAGGACAACAGATGGATGTTAAGGAAAGCAATATGCACTACATTAAACAAAAATAAATACTGTGCTACGTGGTGAATAAAACAAACACCAAATTTTGGCACTTTCAAGACCAGCAGCACAGGGATGGAATCATTTCGAAAGCTGTAAAGCTCTAATAAATACCCCTGAGGTACATTCAGTGCATTTCTAAAAATACTTGAAGCTAGTGTAACGAAATTTGGGTTCCTAGAAAGAACTTTTGTCCAAAAGTAAGCTCATCTCTAGAACTCCATACAATAGGATAACATCCGAGTTTTGATACTTAAAATGTGACAAGGAAAACTGAATAGTTGAAAGATTCACAGGTATGCAGGTAGACATGGCAGATAATACATTATTCACTGTGTCAGAAAGGAAAGAATAGTTTTCCTCAACATGTTGTTCCTATAATAATCTAATTCTAATACCCTTCTGTGTTTTATTTTGGGCAAAGTTAAAACTTGTTATTCTTTGAATCATTAACACGTGCAACACATGACTTAGAAATTAATTTCACTCTTCTGAAACTCAGAAGCTACAGGTCATTGAATGGGAAAGGAAAATGAGAACAGAAAAGCAAATGGGGTTAGTGCTAATTTGTCTTCGCCCAAATCCCTAGATTCATTTTGATAAAACAAGTTTCTGCTCATTACATCAATGATAAAGAATGCACAAACTTACTGTCATTCCAATATATAACACCAATATGTTCTGGAATGCTCAGAATATATCGACATTTGGACAGGATAAGTTGTATCCCTATTTCCTCTGGTTTGGTTTCTTCAAAAAGATTCCATATTCATACCAGGACCTTCTGATCGCACTCTCTTCCCAACCTGCTTGTTAAGTGGCTGCTGCCTTACTCCTGTCTGGGAACACTTTAAAAGGGTTACCATTTAATGGTGTCCAGTGTCCTGATGCAGGTGTTCAGTTAGTCACATTTCACACACTTACGTGGTGGTGGGAAACTGCTTCAGAGTTGAGACTAATTCATCCCCCTCTCTAACTTCTTAAGAGCCCTAATACTCAGGTAGAGGTCAGTTAACATAATGGATTAAAAACTCGAGTGCGAATACAGAAGTAACACTAACTTGATTGTCTAATGTCCTCTTTTGACCATCTCATTTTCATAATTTCAAATCGCCAGTGACATACGTGACGATCTGGAATATTTACTATTTACTGTGTTCCCATGAAGTCACCTGATAGTGTCACCTTCATGTGAAGTCAACACTGTCATACCGATTTGAAGTACATTTTTCCAAAAGCTCATAGTTTTAATGACAATTTCAATGAAACACAGAATGGTATTCGTTTTAAAACTTTGAAATTTATACTTATAATATGCTAGTAAAAAAAATGTCCCAGGGTTTTATTTTCTATGACAATCAGTATTGGATGTGTACTGGACACACTTTCGGATGTAAATGCGTTTTTACAGGGTTAAAAATAAAATTTAGTGTTTTTATATTGTCTCAAGACAAAGTCTCAGCTATCAACTGCATTAACTTTTTTTTGGCCAGACGAGAGGAGTTAATTCATATTATTGTGTGTTTCGCTGAATTATTCACATTTAAGATTCTATGTTTTATTTGATTGGCCATGTCAACTGCCCCATACTGCAAACTTCTGTCAAAGACGTCACGAAACGAGTGACTTTCTTAATAATCCAAACCTTATGTACAACTTCCGTTTCTTTTGAGGTAAAGAACTGACAATGCTTTCGACGGAAATAGCGCCAAGACACAACGTGTTCTAAAGTTTTAAAATAATCATCCAAAGGTGATGGGGGACTTTAGAAACTTGGGCCGTCAATTAACATGAGCATGATAAAGACGATGGATAACTAAACACGACAGAACTTCCGAGCATAAGGTCACCGAGACCCGTCTGTCCCATTGACTTAACTCACCCTAATGCCCTTCACCACCGTAATGTTGTCATTCTCATCTGCTTCAAAGGAGACCCGGCGACTGCTGCTGTTGCCTCCCATACCTGGCAGCAATCAGCGAAAACGATTTCTATGCTCTGCTGAAAAGGGGTGTCATTAATCCCAACAAAGTAGACAAGATTTTCTTGCCTACAATACGGTATTACCAGGTCCCTCTCGCAAGGCCACACGACACGGCACCACACTCTCACCGCCGGCCCACAGCACACTGCGCGGCACATGAACAAAGAGGGCCCTGATTGGGTGAGGGAGTCATCGTCTTCTTTCAACGCACTCGTGTGTTGGCTAATGGTTGACATGGCAACACGAATACAACTATTTCCCTGGGAAAAGTTTTGGGAAAGTATAACCATTCCTTCAATCACAGGTTAAAAGATACGGTCTTCGGACTGTCGGAGAAAGGAAACGCCAAAGTGATTTTCGGAACAGGCAACAGCTTGCAACGCGCTCCCAGTGCATTGTGGGAGTTGGAGTTTTATTCAGTGTAGCCCAGGTGTGTCGGTATGACCGTAAAAGTTTGTACTTCTCTTCTTAGACTGAGAGGTGCAGTAGACTTAGTATCTTTTTACAACGTGTCAGACGTCCGATTTTAAGTAATTTGTTGAGGTCCAGTCGTAGGTACCAACCGAACGTTAAATATGCAAATGTCTGTTCAGAAGTAATTAATACAATTTGGAATTGCTAAGGCTTTCTAGAAAAGCATGTGTATGGTTACGGTTACTAAAACGTGATCAGTAATAGTTTAATTTAAAATATCTCGCATATATGAAGCCGTCAGAAGCAAATAAATTAAATCTAGATGTTTAGATTTTTTAACGTACGTTCATTCTGATCATTTATTTCTTTATGGACATCTCAGCATTAACTGCAGTCCACGAGTCGTGGGTCGTGGTAAGTTAGCGAAAAAATACGTCTTTGGTTGTTTAAAATTTCACATCTGCTTGCCATAAACACTAAGCACATGGTGATTTATTGTTCTCATCGCGCTGAGGTTGAAAAGAATCTCAACTCGAAAAGACAAGGCTGTGGAAAAACAAATCTTGACTTCGCTTCATGATCTATGAGCTATATCTTTTTCAAGGTTTGTGCATTGGATCCTGGATCATGACTCCAGTCATTAGTATTTTTTCCTGTCATATTATCAGGGAGATGACAAGTATTACGTCCGTCCACCGCTTCATCCAATTCATGATCGCAGAAGAGCCGGCGTATATCCCGATAAGCAACGGATGTAGGACTATATGTTAGGTTTTCAGTATCTAAAATGTTTTCTTTATATAGACTTTTTCTAAGCTCTGTTTATCCTTCCCGGTCCCAGGAAAAAAATGTGTTAGCCAAATAGAGTGATTAATTACAAGTTTAAAATAACCCAAAATATCGCTGAACAGTTGTCCGTTATTGAATTTGCAAGGTAATTTTCCAATTTACCACGATTTTCCATGGCTAAACAATTCACGTAATTTTCCTTATTTGTAAAGTATCAGGAAAAGTGTCATAGCCCCCACATTCCCTTCAGAGAATGATAGTGTAGCGCCCTTGCCTGGCGCTGCGGCCGAAGGGTGCAGTAGGAGAGCCGCTGCCCAATTGCGGAACAGATGTACACAGTCCCGAGATCGCCCGGGCTCATGTTAATAGTTTCCCTGGTTTTGCACCCCTTTTATACATGTACCCAATTACCACACTATATCTGTGTAACTGTACCCGAATTAACCCCAGTGTGTTGTAGCCCGTTTGCCTCTTTCTCCCTCTCTCTGTTGTGGTTGCTGTGCCGGACGCAAGTCCGATTAATAAAGCGCCATGTTCTCAGTTAAGAAGCGCCTGACTTCCTGTGTCTATCCTCCCCGTACCCATCGCATTACAATAAGTACAAGATCGCAATCCCCCACCCTTCTCAAGAGAGCAGATAGCACATCACACCCCTGCCACAAAGCAAAAACTTCAGTTCAATTCGAGCTTTATTATCCCCTGAGGGAAATTGGTTTTACAGCAGGGTCCGACACAACAATACAACAAAAACAGACCAACATCACCCACTAAGAAAACAGTACAGCAGGAAATGTAAGACATATGTTTCATTTTTTGAGAGTGAGATTGCAGGTTGATGAAAGATTACCTGAGTCTATTACCGTTACGCCTGGTGGCACAGACTAGCCTGAATAGAACTGTCAATTAACAGCTTAGGCCTGCCCCCATGTAAATTTCATTGGGTTCACATTGCACTTTAACTGCATATCTCTATTAAAATATATTTATCATACTCTTGCAGAGGCTTATTGCTCTAGTCATTACAGCTAGCCTCAGAGGGGAAAGTTGGGACACATACAACACAAATGTGAATGCTACACAACACTAAAAAGCCAATACACACTAACTGGGTATCTGACCAGAGTAAGAAACACCGAGAAACAGAATCTAGTGAAGTACAGGCTCAGTGACCACTGCCTGGCCATACAAACTGGGCACCACAGGCAGATCTGGCTGCACAGAGGGGATAGGTTGTGCTCCCACTGCCAGCAGGGAACACTGACAGAGATGCACTTTCTGCTGCACTTGTATCAAATACTTAGGATTTTTTTCCCTATCACAACAAATCTTACCTCAGAATTCCCACACCTGCCAGAATCAGAACAGCTTCTTATCTTACTGGGGGTGGGGGAGGTAACTCATCAGAGCTGCAGCCCAGGATGTGATGTCCTGTCCCAGCCTGAGGAATACACTCTGGTTGGGCTCGGAGAGCCGGCCACCCGGCCACCAATGAGCGCCGTTCACGTCGGGGCTGGGATGCAGACAGATGAGCAGCCGCCCCATTCCCATCGCCGTATCGCACGTTCATGGGGAACTCGGAGCTCAGTCATATGTAGACGACCTAATTCTGGGTCAGAGTGTCGTATGTAGCAGAGCAGCCATCTCGCTGCTAAATATTCAAAGTCAGCTCACAATGTCCTATGTGAACGTCCATTAATATGTTCTAAGTCTAAATATGTCTGTGTAGATCGTGTTAATTGTATATGCTTTGGCAATGCTAATTCATTGATCATGCCAAAATAGCTCTTTCAATTTGAGTTTGGATTTGAGACAGATAGATTGGGTCATCCGCTGGAGGGACACGTGGACAAAGAGAATCAGAATGAACATAATTGTCCACATACAGTGGAAATTTTTCTTCTTTGGCCTAACTGAGACAACAAATGCAAAATAAATAAATCCTCCAATGAACTTTACAAGAAGGGAGAAGCTCCCCCTTCTTGCCTGGTCAAAGTTAAGGGGTAAAGGGTTGCAAGACAGGCCAGCATCGAGGGGTGGAACACCACAATGTGTTTTGCAATATGTTTATCTACAGTTCAAAACCGTAAACTTCCATTAAGGTGTCAGCGTCTTTAACCACTTGACTCATTTCCTCTCTATTCTTTTGAAATTATTTGTAATACTGTTGAATTATAATTAACATCTTAACCCTGGAGTAGAACCTAGGGTAGATTCTTGGGCCTGTTGAGCAAACAGTCCGCTAATTGAACTGATAGGATCCTTCCGTCTGACAAGTGAGGTGGGATTAGGACTGATTGCCTGAAAATCTATTGTGGTGTGTAATCAGCAAAACTGATTTGTAAACAGAGTACAATTACCTGAAAGCACAAGTACTGTATCAAAGGATATTGGAAAGAAAATGCAAGATAGAATTTTGTTGTGGAAGCTAAAATAAATAAAAACTATATTTTCAGTATCACGACAATAAAAGAACAATAAAGAATAACATGTTTTGGAGATGAAAATTGGAAAACTTTTGACGATGAGAGGGAAATTGCTAAAAAATTAAGTGAATAATTCACCCAAGTGTTTGCCAAGGAAGAACACAAGATACCATCAGCCTCAGGCTGAACAAAGGCAAAGTTCTGTATTAAATACCAGAAGAAATGTTGTACATGTTAAAAACATTTAAGATAGACAAATCTCTAGGGCCTGCTGGTATTCTACCAGTTGTGTTTAAGGAAAAACGATATTTTACAGTGTGTTAAAACTACAGTGACTCAGAGCAGGGATAACACATGGACTGGATTAGATTCCTAATGCAGAATGATGGAAAAGGGTAGTAAAACTGACCAGTAATAAACCAAAAATCATGTAATTGGAATCACGTGTAAATGGTATTGCAAGTAAGGTTATGAAATTATAATTCGAATTTAGCTCTACCATAGAATTTTAGAAGATAATTGGCCTGGAATTAGAAAAGGTTCATCTTGCTCAACCAAATTGTTAGCATTCTTTTGAACAAGCCACAGCAGTGATGGATACATCACACGATGGCTGTCTCTTCCAATCAAAGATGATTGTATTCCATGACCTTGAAGGTTACTAAAAAGTCCACTATGTGTTCCACAACCCTCTGTCAGGCTGGTAAGGTCTTGCCTCGGGAGATATTAGGTAATTAACCGTGCGATCCTGTCAAGGTGAGCTCTCTTCTGCCCTCTCACTTTGCCTCTTCTTCCTAGATGTTCTTTCTCTACATGGATTGGTCAAGCACCACAGTCTTCCTGGTGGAGTATATATTGATTTTGCATTTGTTCAAATTTGCATTTACCAGATCTTTCAAACACTTTTCTGGCCTCCTCTGGTGTGATTGCTGTGGCTATAGAGGGAAATGGGAATCTTCTTTGCTTGCTTGTAGTCTCAAATTCAGACAATATGATCAACCCATCAGAGGATAAGTGATGATAGTATCAATACTTATGGTGCCTGCATGAGAGAGAACACTAATGTTGGTTCATCTGTCCCATAATGTGATACATAAAATCATCCACAAACAGTGTCTAGTGAAATGACTCTATCTAATTTAAATATCTCCGTTCTGTTGTTCATGTTGTCCATGTTTCAGCCTCATACAGTAATATAACAAAGATGACTGCGTGCTATACCATCACTTTGGTTTCAGTTTTGATGTTGGCACAAACTCCCACTACTTCAGGTGGCCAAAGGAGGTGTCAGGTGAAGACAGTATCAGTCTTATGTGAAAGATGTGAGAAATTCAATCTTCAGACACTCATCATGAAAGTGAAACAGTGACACTGGGTTTTCTGATGGATTGTGGTATTCTGAATGCTAAAAAGTCTATTCTTTTCATATGCCTCAGTAAATATGTTCACAGTTGTCTGAATATTGATTTTTGTCAAGACACATACTTTAGGATACATGAGTTATTTTA